GTGACTAAAAGATCTAACCCCTAAAATCTCCAAAATCATTTGCAAGCCCGACATAACAAAAAAAAAACCATTTGCAAGGCGGAGACGAAAAAAAAAGTAGTAAAATGACCGTAACCGTGATTGATAAGCGAAGGAAAGACAAAAAAAAAAAAAAAACTTGCTCGACCCAAATTCGTTAATAGCTAGTAAAGTGGGGTGTGTTCTTAACAAAATACACACCCAACCTTATCCGTTAATTATAAAAGCGGGTAAAATTTGTTCTCGCCCCAAAATTTGGATACATCGACACCGGCTCGAATTACCTTGAACACATATGAGTTTGGGTTCAGTTGTCATAAGAGGAAATATTTAAAAGATGGGTAAAATTTGTTACCGACCCAAAATTCGGCAACACCGAAATTGGACCGAATTAGGTTGAATACACATGAATTTGAGTTCAACTATCAAAAAATAATTACAACATTTGATTAATTAACGAAAAGTAAACAATAAAATAATCCTAGGTAATGTGACTATACCAAATAGTAACCCAAAACTTGTTCTTTTAAAGAGTTCAAGGTCGCGACAGAAAGATCTAACCCCCTAAAGTCTCCAAAATCATTTGCATGCCCTACACAACAAAAAATCGATAAAAAATCATTTCCAAGGCGTAGACAAAGAAAAGTAGTAAAACGACCATAACTGTGATAGATAAGCGAAGGAAGAAAAAAAAAACTTGCTCGACCCAAAGTTCGTTTCTACCGAATTCAACTCACTCAATTCATTTAGTACCTATAATTTTTTAAATTTATATATTGGTCCAATTTTTAGATGTCACTTAGATCCATGAATCCAATCCACCACTCCAAGTGAACGAATCCAATAAATTGCTACGTGAAAAGGATTGACTATAGTATTGACAACCAGCAAAAAGACTTGGTCAAAACCTTTCCATCATCTACTTACTCTACGTATCCGTTTTTCACTCGCCTTCCACATCCCTTTCTTTGCCTTCTTCGTCCAACCCAAATTAGTATACTGTTTATTTGTATTTTAATTCACAAGTATGAATGGTTCCATACCCAAAACTTGTTCTTTTAAACAGTTCAAGGTGACGACTAAAAGATCTAACCCCTAAAATCTCCAAAATCATTTGCAAGCTCGACAGAGCAAAAAAAAATCCCGTAAAAAACCATTTGCAAGGCGAAGACGAAAAAAGTAGTAAAACGACTGTAACAGTGATCGATAAGCGAAGGAAAGACAAAAAAAACTTGCTCGACCCAAAATTCGTTAATACCGAGTAATGCAGGGTGTGTTCTTAATAAAATGCACACCCAACTTTATTCGTAATTATAAAAAACAGTCAAAATTTGTTCTCGCCCCAAAATTTGGATACATCGACACCGGCTCGAATTAGCTTGAACACACATGAGCTTGAGTTCAATTTTCATAAGAGCATATATTTAAAAGATGGGTAAAATTTGTTCCCGACCCAAAATTCGGCAACACTGAAACCAGATCGAATTAGGTTGAATACACATGAATTTGAGTTCAACTATAAAAAAATAATTACAACGTTTGATTAATTAACGAAAAGTAAACAATAAAATAATCCTAGGTAAAGTGACTCTACCAAAAAAAAAAAACTTGCTCGACCCAAAATTCGTTCATACCGAGTTCAACTCACTCTATTGATTTAAGCGTGTAAAACTCGCTTACCCGAGTTCAACCCCTTGATTTAAGAGTGTATAATTTGTTGTCGACCCAAAATTTGTAAAAATCAAGTTCAACTCCCTTTAACCATGTCGAATTAGGTCAACTACCATTGATTTGGGTTTAAGTAGGATTCAATTGTCATAAGTTAATTGATTGGTTACTTAATAACATAAAATTAATTGATAAGAACCTTAATGACATAAAACTTCTTCAAACTTTGGTCAATTACAAAAGACCACCCCTTGTAATGGGACACTAACAATAGTAACTTTTTTTTTTATAAGGGTGAAATAATATTAAATACAAAGAAAGAAAACAGCAGTAGCAGGATAAAAGAACAAAAGAACCACCTGGGCCGAAGAAACAGCCAAGCCCAGAAGAGGAAAATAAAAAACAGAAACCACAGGAACGACACAAGTCGTAATCAAATCAAAGGGAAACAGAGCAGTCCGAAACAAACGAGTAGACAACGACTAAGAGGAAGCAGCACTTGGGAGGTGTGTGGGAAATAGCCGAAGCTTCAGATTGAGGAGCCACGCTTCTGCAATACTTCTCTCGACCTTGTTAGCGCAGACCAACCAATCACACACAAGGCGGGCGATAGCCAAACAAACATCCCGAGCGGAAGAACTGTCATCCCTGAAGATTCGGGCGTTTCGCTCTGGCCAGATCCGCCAGCAAAAAGCATGGAGAAAAACCTTGGAGCACCACTGTTGCGGGTTAGAGGGATTCGGAAAAAGCCACCCTCTAATGATCGAGGGGAGATCTCTTGCCGGTTGGGCAAGTTGCACAAACGAACTCATGATCCTCCAGATTTCACGGCTGAATGGGCATAGAATGAACAAATGATCCAGGGACTCTTCGTTGCAACCGCACAAAACGCACCTGCTGGGGAAAGCCCAACCCTTCCTATTCAGCGCATCATGCGTGAAAACTTTCCTTTGGTAAGCAATCCACAAGAAGACACAGATCTTGAACGGGATCGTCGACTGCCACACGTTCTTATGGGGGAAGCTAGAATCACCATTGGGGGAGGACTTCAACAGCTCCCTATACATGGACCCGGATGAGAAGCCAGCGGAAGGAGCGGGTTCCCAGGACACTCTGCCAGGGCCTGTACAAAGAAAATCAGAAGGGAGATTGTTAAGAAGCAATAAAAGTCTCACTCTCTCACACTCAGCCCCCCCTCTCAAGTTGTGAATAGATGGGAGAACCCAAACAGGAACTCCCTCTTGCATCTGAACCATGTCTAGGACCCGGCAGTTCGGCTCCATAGCAACAACAGCAACCCTCGGGAACTCAGTGGCAAGCGGCTTTGATCGACCCTTGATCCAAACATCGAACCAGAAAGAGGTATCAGCGCCAGCACCCGACTCAATATGCATCCAGTTCCAAAATATCTCATTTAGTTTCATAATCTGAGACCACGGGCTAGCACCCACAGCTCCACGAGTCCTCCCCGGTGACCAAATCGACGCATTATTTCGCAACTTCACGTCTATAAGATTGCGCCACCACGACTCCCTCTCGACGGCGAATCTCCAAAACCACTTACACAAGAGCGCTTGATTTCTGAACTTCAGATCTGTAATTCCCAAACCTCCAAGACATTTAGGAAGCTTGCAAGTATCCCAAGAGACCAAGTGAAGTTTATTCTCACTTGTTCTTTTACAATAATAATAATAATAATAATAATAATAATAATAATAATAATAAGAGTAGTCCATTTTGCTTATGGATTATTCACTTTTAGATGCTAATCTCATACAAAATTTTGCAATCCCAACCAAGAGTGAAAAATGAAAAGGGAAAAGGAAAAGATACATGTTTTATTATCAAACACATGGGCAGGAGTCGGGAGGTGTACTTACTTGTTTGGCAAAAAAAAGATGGAAATGTTACCGTCCTATCCTATGTATTCCATTAAGGCAAACCCTGCTTTTGGAGCAATTGGCTCCAACTTGACATAATAAGGTGGCAGCAGTCATCAGTTGCATGTTCAGTTGTTCACATTCATTTCCGAGTGTACAAATTTCAGTAGCCCCCATTTTTTTTTATGACCAGGAACACTCTCCAAGGTCATCACCTTCGATGATGTAGTAATCGGTCCAAACTTCGGGACCTTCGCCAGTAATCCGGGCAAATACCGGGTAAGGATTTAATTTGGAACCTTTCGGCCACCAGTCCACCTCCCCAATGGCGGATACATGGACATTGACACCCCTAAAATTTGGAAGAACGATTATTCAACCCCGGCTGTAGTTTCGTATGGAGAAAAAATTATAATTGGTAATCCGGGACACCCTGAAATTTGAAAAAAATGATTATACTACTCTCGGTAGTAGTTTGTGTAAGATTAAAAAATTAATAAATGGTAGTTTGTGTTATTCAAACTTAGGACACTACTATTATTTAACATATTCTTTAGGTTGCAACTCATTTCTTGTTCTATTTAAACACTAAGATATAGTAAAAACATTATTGCTTATCCCCAACTATATTCCTTTTCACAATATGAAAACACGTCGTGGCCTTTTGTTAAAATTTGTATTAGTCATGTGTTTTCTTATTTATTTTATTATTTTTTTTATAGAGGACAACCTAATAAAATTTTTTGGATCCGCCACTGCACCTCCCTTGCCACCAGGTTATATGACCATTGGCGCAGCCCCATTCGATTATGATACGTTGGGAAAGTTGATCTGTTAAACAACACAACGTGGCCAGAGGAAAGCCAAATCTCTAGCAGTTGAGAGTGTTGAATGTTGAACTGTTGATGTACATAATAAATTCCCATGACAATGCCCACATGCAAAGCCGGATTCTTAAGTTCTTCACCGCAAGCAAAATGTGCTTTATTGAATTTTTTCCTTACTTGCAGTGCATGGCTCAGCAAAGAATGGCAAAATCGATTACCTGCATTCAATACAGCCACAATTGTATATGCCTACCTCCACCATAATCAATCTACAAATGGCAGTAATTATCATACTTGCACCAAATTCCTACATTGAAGTTCTTCAAGAAAGAAGCGAAACCCAATTGGACAATCTGCGAAACAGGGGAAGGTGGCATTGAGTCAGTGGATACAGGTAACACTTCATTAAAGAAAAATTAAAGCAATTACAGTTTCCTTTACCTCCCCTCCATAAATGAAGCGCCACTACTCCTTCTGTGGTTCCATGGCACTCCAATTTATACAGAAAGTTTACAGCTTTCGTTTCGCCAGAGTAATCAAGAAAACAGAGTGTGCTGGGAGAGAAAGGCTTACTCTGTTTTATACTTTTTGGTTTAAGAACAGAGCAATGACGAGTTCATCAATTCCCTTCTCCTCGTTTGCAGTTCTGCTGGTGGGTTTGATCCTCCTCTTCGTCGCCGGACCCGCTTCCGCCCGGATTCAAATACCGGCGGCTTTAGTGTTTGGGGATTCGATCGTCGATACGGGGAACAACAACGAGATCCTGACTTCCCCTGCCAGGAGCAATTTCCCTCCCTACGGCAGGGATTTCTACGGTGGAATTCCAACCGGAAGATTCTCCAACGGGAAAGTCCCGTCCGATTTCCTAGGTTCGTGTAATTGTTTCAATTCACCGAATCCTGAATTCCAATTTGGTGGGTTCGCTGAAATTGGGTTTGCTCTGTTTTCCTTTTGGGCAGTGGAAGAGCTTGGGATTAAGGACACTCTGCCGCCGTACAAGGACCCGAAGTTGACGCCGGAGGATCTACTCACCGGCGTTTGCTTCGCTTCCGGCGGTGTCGGATACGATGATTTATCCTCAAAAACCGCGGTATAAATGCAAAACTCATATGAACTAAAATTTTACTTCTGTTGACATAGCGTATCGTAAATTCGTTTTACAACCCTCCAGTGGAAATTCGCTCGTAAATTTTATGTTCATTTTCTTCACAGTCGGTGCCACCATTGAGCGAACAGCTGAGAGAGTTCAAAGAGTAAGCAAGCAGGGTAAAAGCTATACTTGGAGAAGAAGCAACAGCCAAATTCTTGGCCGATAGCTTAGTTATAATCGTTCTGAGTAGCAACGACATAGCCAACACTTACTTCAACATTCGCCTGAGGGAGCTCCAGTACGACTTCCCTACTTATGCCGACATTTTGGTCAAATCCGCAACAAATTTCGTTATGGTACGATGACATCTCGAAATATTCAATTTTTGACGTTTATAGTTTTCAATTTAATTAATTTCGCTCAATAATTTTTTCCCCCTTTCCTTGGGATGGAAGGATCTGTATTCGGTCGGGTCCCGTAGAATTGGAGTGTTTGGAGCGCCTCCGCTCGGGTGTATTCCGTCTAGCAGAACGGTTGCAGGCGGACTAGAAAGGAAGTGCAACGACAAATATAATGAGGCGTCACAGTTGTTCAACTCCAAATTATCTGCGGGATTGAATTCCTTGAAGGAAAACCTGGACACTGCTACTAGAGTCGTATACATCGACGTCTATAATCCCCTCCTGGAGGTCATCAACAATTATCAATCCTATGGTAAGACAATCCTAAGTTTATAAATCAGTGTATCGAGTAGAAAGTAAGTGATTAAAGTAATTTCAAGATTGGTGGTAGATCGATGAGAGTCGAAGTTAGTATTTCGCTTGATAACGTAGGGTATTTTTGTTTTCTTTAGGTTTCGAGGTAGCGAACAAAGGGTGCTGCGGGACGGGGAACCTCGAAGCTTCGGTGTCGTGCAACAAGTTCAGCCCCTTTACTTGCCCGGATGCTTCCAAATACGTGTTTTGGGACAGCTACCATCCGTCGGAGAAGGCCTATAAGCTTCTGGTGAGTAAGCTTCTTACCAAGTACGTGCCTCAATTAATGTAGCAGAGTCGCCGGCCGGGGGCAGAGGCTTCGCCGGAACGAGCAGAAGAAGGTTCCAAGTGAATGCTTGCTTTTTCTTTTTCTTTTCTGGAATTTTTATTGGATGTCGCTGAAATTGAAGAACAGGGGAAAGGGTTGTAAAGAATCAAGTTTCTTGTCACAAGAACACCTAATTCACGCATTTTTCATTTATTCACGCCATGTTTGTGTTATTCACGTCATATTTGCGTTATTCACGCCAATATTGATGTTATTCATGTAAGAGTGTTTCTTCTTCACGCAACCAATATTGTTTAGTCACGTAACCTGGTGTTTATTCACGCATATTGTTATTTATTCACACCATTGTAAACTTAAATTTTAGACATTAAAATATATCAAAATGGATGTCATTGTGTAAATTATTATCAATGCAACATATTTTTACAGACTAATTGAGAATCCAAATTTAATTCCATAAAATATAGCCAATACAAATTATTAGGGGAAAAAAGGGGAAGAGAATTCTACATTATTACCATAGTAAGTAGTAACAGTGTCGGCATTAGGCATTCGGTCGATTCGGTTTGAATCGAACAAAATAGAGTACTATCAAGGTTCCGCTTCCTCTCACGTGGCTGATCGAATTTGAACCAAATTAAAATTCGATTCAATTTGGTCGAACCGAATTATAACTCGGTTCGGTTTGGGTTTGTGACAAAAACCGACAAGTTGGATTGTGTCGTTGCTGGGACTGGGATGTTGCATTTTGGGCCGGTCCTGGCTGCCTCATTTTGGTGGATGGCGAGAGATATAGGAGGCGGAACCGCCTAGGTTTTTAGTATTCTCCCTCAAAATTCAAGCTTTCCCTTTTCATCTTCTTCTTTTTTGCCGACATTGATGTTACTTCCGTTGCTGCCCGCTTGCTCGCTGATGGAGTAGGTGGAGTCTCTGGATTTCGTCGGGAAGAGTAGGTGGATTCGAGGAGGCTGGGTTTTGTAGGGAGGAGCAGGTGGATTCGAGGAGGGTGGATTTGGCCGCAAGGAGCAGGCGGAGGAGGAAGATTGGACGAGTGCCGGCGGGTGCTGTTGGAGTCCGCCGAGGAAGTCACCAGATTCACCTTCTCTGAATCTCCACCCTCTACAGATTCCCCGAGATGGAATATTGGACCTGTGGCGGCGGATGTTGTTGGATGTCGCAGAGGAAGTCGTTGGATGGCTGATGAGGGGCAAGGTTGAGGTAGTTCGGTTATTCGGTCGGTTGTTGGAATTTCGGGTTCGGATGTGCATACCCTGTATTCCGAACTATGGTTTTTTTCCTTCCGATCTCCGAACCGAATAGTAGTATATTGGTTTCGCTTCGGTTCGGGTTTACTGAACCGGATGCCCACCCCTAGTAACACTTTATTTGTTATTAGAATGATAATCAAGGTTGTCAACTCGGTTTGGTCCATTTGACCCGGTCGAGCTGGTGGGTGAAGCGTTAATAGGCTGATGGGTTTTGCCCATTTTAGCCTGATTTAGTCCCGATATATGAAAGAAGTTTTTATATTATATATAAATTCTATCAAATTCTATCTAAAATATGTGCAATAACATATAATATTACACAAAAATAATAGTTTGTATTTGAATATAATATATAGTAAAAACTAAAATATATTTAAATCCAACTCTTAACGTTAATTTTCATATATTACACATAGATTTCCAAATTAGAAAATTAAAGTGCTCAATTCAATTTTAAAAATTAGAATAGTAAATTAAATGATATAGGTAATAGGTAAGCAGATGCAAATAATACATTGGTGACCACGATAGCTAAATGATTAGGGCTAGAAGTTTGGTACAGGTATTTGGGATATACCGAATACCGTACCGAATTTGTCTATATTTAGAGTGTTTGGAGCGCCTCCGCTTAAGTGTATTCCGTCCAGCAGAACGGGTGCAGGCGGACTAGAAAGAAAGTGCAACGACAAATATAATGAGGCGTCGCAGTTGTTCAAATCCAAGTTATCGACGAAATTGAATTTCTTAAAGGAAAACCTGGACACTACTACTAGAGTCGTCTACATCGACGTCTATAATCCCCTCCTGGAGGTCATCAACAATTATCAATCCTATGGTAAGACAATCCTAAGTTTATAAATCAATGAGTTGACTATCGAGTAGAAATTAAGGGATTAAAGTAGTTTCAAGATTGGTGGCAGATCGTTGAGAGTCGAAGTTAGTATTTCGCTTGATATCGTAGGGTGTTTTCGTTTTTTCAGGTTTCGAGGCAGCGAACAAAGGGTGCCGCGGGACGGGGAACCTCGAAGTTAGGGATGGCAACAAAACCCGAACCCACGGGTACCCACCCGACCCAACCAGGTCAACGTGGGTAAAATCAGTGTTGATGGGTTTTGGGCCGGGTTTGAGTTTAAACCCGTTCACTATTCACCGGGTTGGGTTTGGTTTAGGTAAACCCGACCCATGGGTACTTGCCCACACCCATATAATAAATTTTCTCGATATATTTAATGTTCTAAACAACTAATCTTATTTATATTTGTGGAGACATGTCTAATTTTTTCTTTCTAATTGTGTAGAATGAAGTTGATGTTATCGAGTGGAGAGTGAAGAAACTTAAGTGAACAAATTATTTATGGATAATTTGTGATTTGCTTCAATTTTCTTGAGTTTTCTAGATTGGTGTTGAACAATTTGTATAGTTAATTTGTGATTTGCTTGAATTTTCTAGAATGGTGTTTTATATATGGATATTTTGTATTGAGAGATCAATATTTGACTTTAATTTTGATAGGAACTTGTTATTGTAAATTTTTTACGACCAAAACCCGTGGGTACCCATAAACCCGCGGATACCCAACGGGTTGGGTTGGGTTTGAGTTTTTCAAACCCAGTAGGTTTTACCCAGGGTTTTTTTCAAGGATAAACCCATGGGTTTGGGTTTGGCAAAACCCGACCCAACCCGACCCATTGCCATTCCTACTCGAAGTTTCGGTGTTGTGCAACAAGTTCAGCCCCTCTTTACTTGCCCGGATGCTTCCAAATACGTGTTTTGGGATAACTACCATCCGTTGGAGAAGGCATACAAGCTTCTGGTTAGTCAGGTTCTTACCAAGTACGCCTCAATTAGAGGACTTCTACTATACTATATAACATTGGTGCTTTAATGTACAACTTGAAGTTGTACCATAACATTAAATGTATAAGTTTAGGTTGTATCATAAAGCAATTTGTATCATTATGTTATGGTACAACTTTACAACTTGAAGTTGTACCATCACATAAAGGTACAAGTTCAAGTTGTATCATAAACAATATGTACAAAACAGTGTAGGTATAATCTAAAACTGTACCATCAGATTGAATGTACAATTTCAAGTCGTACCATAAAAGTAAAAACTTATAGCACCAATACTATATAGTATTGTAAAATTCCTCCAAATAGAATTCTACATTATTACCATAGTAACACTTTATTTGTTATTGGGGTGATAATACTAGTTAGTACGTAGCTAATAGAAAGTTATTATTATGTAGACTTATTGTTATGAGCTAATTAACCTTAGTCATTTTAATCACCATTTATTCTACAAATCTATCTCGTCTCTTTATCACTAGTCAAGCAAACACAATTCGTTTCTCTTTCCTCGCATCGAATTATTAACACAACCATTGATGGCGACAACAATGGAAGATTTGTTCGAGCTGTGGCGTTTTGGCGTACAGCCGGCGGTGGAGCAATGGTTCCACGATGACGCTACAAATAGTGAGGAAGCTCGTTTCTATCTCTTCTCATCGACAGAGAAAGCTTCGTTCGAGCTGTGACACGTGAGCGAATAATCGGCAGCATGATCGATTGGACGGTCGATAAATCGCGATATGCTTTCTAGCACTAGATCGAGATTTGAAATTGCTCAATCGACATCCAAATGATGGGAATTTGTGCACCTACAGGTTCTTCTCTCCCTCGCCCGCAAAACGATTTGTCACTGACTATAAGGGTTCGTTTGGATTAGGGAATGTGTAAATGAGGGATTTGGATTAAAATCTCTCAATTAAAAACCCAGGTATTTCAAACGTGGGATTTGATCCAAATAACATGTTTGGGAATAGATGAAGGATTTTAATTAAAAACTAAAGTTACAGTTATACCCATCCCTAATCCCTAAGGAAGAATAAGAAAGGAAGAACAAAAGGAGGGGCAGAGTTTGGAAAAGAATCAGAAAAAATGAGTGATTGTGAAATAGCTGATCCCCATCAGGTATTTTAAAAACTCTCATATGAGGGATTTAGAATTTCCTCATGCCCACAATCTCTCACCTTTCCAAACGCAGAATTGTTTTAAAATCCTGCACAACGAGAGATTGTTTTAAAATCACTCATAAATCCCTCATCACATTCACTAATCCAAACCACCCCTAAAGGAAGTTCTTGTGGATGATCATCCATAATTGAGCCTTTCTCAATAAAATCATCTTGTCTGTTCAAACCATGCTTTTGTTTGTAGGAAGTCGATGGCCAGCGTCCAAATCGTATTAGTAATCAGACAATCATGAGAAATACCCATGATATCGTGAAGTAACCAATGTCCAAGTTCAGGGCCGTACACATTGAATCGATGTGTACCAAAATTAACTAAATGGCCCCTATCTGCTAGGAAGTCGGCAGCAAAATTAGCCTCTCTAAATACATGAGAAACCTTGGCCTCTCAATCCAAACTCAACAGAATGTTGAACTCCTTGGCGATGATACTGTGGCGATGATAATTCTCAGTATGGTTCTTGATAAAGCAAATTACAGTAGCAAAGTCCAAATTGAAATGAACTCGCCTGTAGCCTCTTTCCCAAGCAATTCGAAGACATGCCACCGCCTCTTTCAGCTTAGCACTTGTGACATAGCAAGTTCCAAGGTTGCACACAAAGGCCTCCTTGCATCTTCCGAGGTGATCCCTGAGAAGGCCACTTTCAACAGCTTTTCCGGATGGTGACAAAATAGAACCATCAGTCTGGATTTGAATCCATCCTTTAGGTGGAGGATCCCAAACAGTCTGTTGTTGTTTGGTAGGTTCTTTCATTAGTGTTGGTGACATGTACATCCACTATTGTGCTTGCTTGATGATATTGAGCCACACATTGATTCTGTAACATAGCCCTTGCACCTGGAATTGCTTGCCTTCCATGACCTCCTCGTTACGTTTTTTCTAGAGGTTCCAACATATGACCACGAACTCTACTCCTTTCTCCTCGTGGCAGAGGTTGTCCAGAAGCCATTGATGGAAAGGTGAACTCAAGCTCTTGACTGTTAGCTTATCTCTAAGTTTATCCCAGATAATCTTAGCTCTCTCACAGCTCTTCAAGATATGTTGAGTTGTTTCTTCTTTGTCACTGCACTAGTTACAATTAGCATTAATTGAGATTCCTCTTCTTGTTCGTTTTTTTGTTAGTGAAGAGCCTCTCATGGAGAACCAGCCAGAGGAAGTGCTTGATTCTGCTTGGCCCCTTCCACTTCCAAAGGTTCTTCCACTTCTACACCTCGTCCTCCTCTTCAAGGTTGGCAGCAAGAGTGTAAGCTGACTTTAGTTGAAATATTCCATCACGTTGCAACCCCCATGAAATTTTGTTCTCTCCGAGCTCAGGCTTAGGTGGTTTTGCACCTGCAACCAGAGACAACAACTCATCAGGGAGGAGAGTTTGAAGTCTCTCTCAATTCCACTCACCTGTTTAGGTGACCCAGTTGGAGACTGGTGACTCTCTTTCCTCAATGGTGATTTCCTCAGAGAGGTAGCCCTCGAGAACAATCCCACAGTCAAGCCAGGGATGCTTGCAAAAGTTAGTTGTCTCATCATTACGGATGCTCCAACAGGTGGCTTCCTTCATAAGAGGCATTGCTTGAACAATAGCTCTCCACAAGCTAGAATGGTTTGATTTTTTCATTGAAATAATTTCACCATTGCTATGCTTATAATACTTCCCTTGAAAAACTTTAACCCAAAGGTCATTCTCATTGTTGAAAATCTGCTAAACAAGCTTAATCATGTAAGCTTTATTCAGACAATGGGAAGATCTAAGTCCCAAACCCCCTAGCTTATTAGGCTTACAAATTTGCTCCCAAGACACAAGGTGAGACTTCCTCTTCCCCTCCTAAGATCCCCAAACAAATCATCTTATTTTCCTATCTATAACATCACTCACATTCAAAGGAATATGTGTTGTCTACATAGCATAGGTGGGAATGGCATTCAAAATCCAGGTGGCAAGTGTCACCTTGCCAGCAAGGGAAAGGGTTATGTCCTTCCAGGCTGTGAGGCTTCTGTCAATTCTATCAAGAATGTACTTATAGGTATTCCTAGTGATCCTCCCATGGATAACATGTACACCAAAATACCTACCAAGATCATTCGTTTCCTGAATTCCTAGCTTAGCACAAATAGTCTGCCTAGTATTGGTTCTAACATTCTTAGAAAAGAAAACACAAGATTTTTCTTTACTAACAAGTTCACCAGAAGCTGAGCTAAACGA